AGGCATGGCTCCCTCCTGCAGAGCTGTAGGACTGTGCCAATGCTGGGTGCCCACACTGGGTGCCCAAGCACTCCCCAGCTGTCCTTGCCCAGCCAAAAGTGGAGCAGGAGGGGAGCAGCTCTCTCTTGCCTGCTGCAGCCCTGTGCTCAGCCTAGGACACTGAACTCGACTGGAGTCCACACAAGAAAATTGATGGGGAGGCCAAAATCCATCACATTCAGCCCCCACCAGTATGCTAAAAGCTCTTGCCATTTTCTCTTTTTATCACAGCTTTAGCAGGAGAGCTTCCATTAGCTGTACACATCATCCCTGGGGAAATAGTGCTGATAGATGTGTGAGATCAGGCAGGTGGATTTTCTTTTCATCACATATGCTGGAAAAGCCTTCCACTGCTAAAAGCAAGAGGAGACTGAGCCAGCTCTTGCAGACTGCTAATGATTCACCTGGAGGGTCCTGGCTGGATTTCAGGCCTCTTGCTCTGCTCTGGTGCCTGGGTGCTGCCTGGCCCAGCAGGCAGGGCAGGATCTGGCCTAGAATCAGAAGGATTTTCCTTTGGGCCGGACCCCTCATTTTCCCCTGAATGGAGACTGGTCCTCACCCAGTGCAACCTTTCACCCCCACAAATTCCCAGCACAACCACAGGCAGAAAGCAGCTTTTCTGTAACAGTGGAGCGATGGCATCCCTGGCTGTTCCTGCCCTTCGTCACTCTGCTGTGTTAGTGCTGGCCATTGCTCCCCTGAGCACACCAAGCTCAGTGGTGCTCACACACCCTGACCAGCATTAGGGATATGAAGGGGCTCTGGGCACAGGATTCACAGCAGCTTCTGCATGAACATTACAAGTGCTGGGGTTTATAACCCAGAAAATCTGGGCTCTGAAGGGCTCTATCTGGTGGGGTGGGAGGCGTGCCGCCCTGCCCAGAGCCACTTTTATGCCATTGTGCCTTTTCAGCATTGCATTAAGGCAGTCAAAGAAGGGGCATTTTTAATGGTTCCAGGGGAACAAAGCGGAAACATTCGACCCAACTTCATTACAGAATCATCTGAAACGCTTGAGGAACGTTTCCCACTAATTATCATAAATAGCCGAAAAAAATCTTTCCCTCCCAAAGCAGGTTCCAGCTGCCCCCTGTGTTTTCTCACCTCCACTTCCAATAGCCTGACCCTGCCCCCGCACAAAGGGGAGACCCCATCTCCGCTCCCCCCACACTCAAGGGCTCTAAAGAAATACAAACAGGCAGCAGATTAACAGCACTTGTTTGCACCTTAAACAAACAGGAACTTCCTCCCCTCCGGGCTCTCTCACTGCCCAAGGGAGGATGCACCAGCTTGTTTTTCTTGCCCTTGCTCTCATGCCCTGCCCAAACTCTGGATAAAAGCCTGGACAGCCCAAGGCATGAGGCAGACAGGATGAGAATGCCAGGGGTGTCAGCCCCCCATCTACTTGAGCCTTGTCCCTAATCTGTGTGTCCTCTTTGTACCCCATCTGCCCCTGGGGAAGTCAGGCCCCTGCTGCAGTAGGGCTGTGAGATGCCAAAGGCAAACGAAAAGCAGGAATGTCCCAGTTCAGCTCTTGCCCCACGTCTCTCACAGGGCTCCTAGCAAGAGGCAGCCTGACGTGGCTGGATGGGTACTGTGAGTGGGTGTGGAGAGGGATGCTGAATGTGAAGGATGGAGAGGGGGAGACAAACCATCCAGAGGACACACAGAGGAGTGGTTCTGGTGTTCAAAACCATCACCAGCATTGAGGAGGCACAGCAGCACCCTAAGCAGCGCACAGGCCATCTCTGCTGGCTGCAGTAGGGGATGGATGAGTGCTGCCCATGCCTGTGCAGCCGGACCTGAGGCTGATCCCAGCAGCTGCCCCCTCTGCCAGGGAGCTGCCCCAGCTCGTGTCCTCAACCTGCAGGTCCTGTGTTGCCTATCCCACCTCTCCAGTGGAATTGCTGGAATCTCCCTGCTCCTACAGGAACAGGTGTCAAACCAGCTCCTTCTTGCTCTGCCCACAGTGAACAGAGAAGTCAGCCCCCAGCACCCCCTGCCTCTCAAACCACAGCAGCAGCTTTTGAGACACTGTTCCAGCACAGCTTGGCACATGTCTGGCACCAGCACACGAGGCAGGCATGCAGGGAGGAAGCTGTGGCAGCGTGGCCACGAGCTGGGACAGGTTCTCATCACAAGCCAGCAGTGAGACTTGCCCACCAGAGGCTCAGGCTTGCTCCTCGTGAAGGTTATTGTGCAAATCCCCTCATGCAGGTGTTCATTGCCTCCCCTGCCCATGAGCCACAATAAAGAGTTTTGCTTGTGAGTCCCCTTCCTGCCCATGGGGTGCCCCAGGGACAGGAAAGGGAGATGAGGCAGGTGGCAGGGACAGGCCACCACTCCCGCGGTATGGGTGGCTCCTGGCAGGGCTGACATGCAGAGGGCTACAGTCAGTGCTGCAGCATGAGGGACAGTGCTGTGGGAACCACTTCTCACCTGCACAGGGCAGGAAGAGAGCCAGCAGCAGCTGCAGGACTCCCAGGCCATGCTGGAGACCCCTGGCCCCAGTGCCACTCAAGGACACACATGTGTGCTGTCCTGTCTCTGCTTCTAACAGCTGGTCACCTGAGGCTGTGAGGGACTCAGGCAGTCACAGCAACTGGGAAGAGGTGTAGAGTGTCACGAGCAGCCTGGAGATGCCACATGGGGATGCTCAACTTTTTTTTTTCCAAAGTGAGAACCACGGGCATCCTGTGGAAGGAGCAGCAAGCAGAGGAAGATTTCTGAGATTAAAAGCTATACCCACTACCCAGTGCAGTTGGCATGCTGCAAAGGGATGCCTGTGCTGCCCACAGCAGAGTGGAGAGGGTGTGCTGGGGACCCTGCACTCCACAGCACTGCCCAGCCACGCACCTTCAGTGCAGTGAGCTGTAGCCCTGAAGCAGCAAACACTGATCTCCCTGGTGCAGATCCCCCTGCTCTGCCCCATCTCCCTGTGCTCTCTGGCTGCTCTTGCTCAGCAAGCAGGAAACCCCAGGGTGCTGCCCCACAGGCTGCTCGGGCACATTGCCCCCAGGACACCCTCCGTCCCTCTAAGCTCCTTCCCTGCTGGAGTACTGTTGGCCCCAACAGGGGCAAATGGGAACAGCTGCTAATTCCTCCCAACCCAGCCCAGTCCAGCCGTAACCCTCCAAGGACTGGCCCTAAAGTGTTGGAGGGAGCCGTCTTGCCTGAGAGCCAGCTGCACCAGCCTGGCCCGGGGAACGCTGTATTTTCATTGCAAATTACAAATCGATCATAGCAGCAAATTCCCGTGCTGAGAACGCCCTTGGCTGTTATTATTTTACAGCACTCTGAAGCACTTAGAGGTGTTCTGGGCACTTAGAAAGATATGGCCCTTTCGGGGTATTATGGGGCAAATTAGTTTTAAAAGCAGCTGTAGGAATGTTGGCCATTTGGCTTCCAGAGCCGGATGGGCACAGGTGGAGGCTGCAGGGCTTTGTGCTGCTTTTGGATACCGCACCGCCCTGCAAAAAGGGAACCAGCACACTCCGGAGCGAACACCTCATGCCTGACCCCAGCTTTATTAATAACCAGTAATTAATATGAGAGCGGACGTGCCTTGTGTCTCTGAAGACCTTTTAAGATGTGATTATGTTGTGCTAATCTCACCCCGAAGTACTTCCCTGTTTAGACTGCGCTGGGCCATTAAATATCTGAAAAGCCAGCAGAGACCCCCCCTCATCACCTCGGGAAGTGCTCGGGGTCTGTTCCCCAGCAGCCAGGCCCCGCTTTCAAACCCTCTAAATCAAGTATTAAGCTGAGTCCATCTGGATTGCCAGAAAAAACACTCCCTCCCCCTCATCTGTATCTCATTACCTGCTGTGCCAGCCCTGGCCCCGGAGCCGCTCGCTCCATCCCGCCCAGATGTGCTGCCCCGCGCTCCCTCCCGTATTTCACAGCCGTCAGCAGCACTTCAAGGAGTAGCTGCAGGGCCTGTGACACTGCACAGGTTCTCAGCAAAGATGTTTATCCAGGTCCCTAATGCATAGCTGCAGGCATGCACTCCAGACAGAGCCCCTTCCCCCTCCCCTGGTCTTCCAGGGGAACTGGGGGGCTCAGGGCTCACTGGCCAGGAGGTTTCTGAGTTTCTGTCCTACTTTTCCTTGTGAAACACATGTCCAGACTATTGCTTTTCAGGAACTCTTTCCCTGGGACACCTCCAAGCCAGGTGGCCCCCGTGCCACACAACTGGGGAAGGCCACCCAAAGGCAGGACAAGATGGAGCAGGCACCAGCAGCAGTGGCAAGGAGTGGAAGACAGACACCTGCAACCCTGTAGAAACTGTGATCAAAATTGGGAGCAGTTTACCTTGCACAGGGCAAAATCAACACTGAACCTAGAGCATAAAAAAGGTACTAGAGACCCAAATCGAGGGAGCAACCCCTGTGTTCATCAGCTCAAATTCTCCCAGAATAAAGCTTCCCAGGGAAGGTTTCAACACTTTCTGTGATGGCAGAAACCACAGAGGAACAGGCACTTTTGTTTAAGTTTGGCACTTCCCTAGGCCTGGCAGGAGCCCATGACTGCGGAGGTGAAGGCTCTCATCAACCCTTCCTGCCAAGTTTCCCAAGAGAGCTGTTCCCATCCTGCAGCCAGGGCTCAGCACCAGGTGAGGTTATGGTAAAGAAGCACATGGCCTTCAGCCATGCTGAAACATCAGTCTTCCAGAGGGGCTGGGCAGGCAGCACCACAAAGGGGTTTTGGAAGATATGAGATTTAAGAGTGGGAAGAAAAACTTCTCTATTGTCTCACAGTACCACTGCCTGTGCAGGGTCAGCCCTGCTCCCACCCCAGCACTGACTGGGGGCCCCACACTCCAGCAAGCAACAGGAATCCCCCACAGCAGGTCAGGGCAGGAAAAGCCCCAGGATGAAAACAGTCTTCTCACCAGCCCATCAGACATCCAGAGGAGGCTTTAATATCAGTGAGGAGGAAAGAGAGAGGGAGCGGGGAAGAGGTCTGTGTGTGACAGTGGTACAGACAGACACATCCTGTAACGTGGCACAGGGAAGAAGACAGGGTGCGGGGCAGGAAGCCTGGTGATATCTTTCTCCAAGGACTGCAAGCACCTTCCAGGGATGGGAGAAGAGCCGGGTGGGGGCTCCTGACCCTCCGGGGCTCCTGACCTCGGGGTCCCGGCCGGCGGGTGCGGAGGCTCCGGGGTTGCGGTGGCCGCGGCCAGGCGGTGGCAGCCACTGCCTGTGTCGGGATGCCATCTAGTGTCCCTCGGCAGAAGGGCCGTCAGGCAGGGACACCGGGCATGGGCTTGCAGGCTCCCGGCATCGTCCGGAGTCATCTCAGAACAGCCCAGCTGCTGGGACCCCCCTCACTGGGATCGCCCTGGGTGCCGGGATCCCCATCCCAGGGACAGCGCGCCCCGTGGCCAGCACGGCTGCAAACCCCGAAGGAGGACAGCTGGCACAATCCAGGTCATACAGGGGCAGCAAAGCTCAAGGTGGTGCCAGGGCTGGCTCAGGGGTCCCCGGAGCAGCCAGAGCCTGAAGGCTCAGCAGCCTTACAGGTGGCCCGGGGTGGTGGCGGGTGTCCTGGTGAAGAAGGAAGGCGACCACTCCCCCCAGCAGTGTGCAGGCAGCCTGCAATGCCAGCACGGCCAGCCCCAAGGCCAGGGACAGCTGGCACTGCCATGGGCTGGTCCACAGGGACAAGCCCCAGGCACGATGGCTGCTGGGGGTCAGAGGTGGGGAGGCTGGAGAGGGGCCCGTGCTGTCTGATAGTGTGGGGATGGGAGGTGTTGGGAGCAGGACAGTGCCTGCCCGGGCAGGAGTCTGTTGGGGAGCAGTGGGAGTGGGCTGGGCACCAGCTGGGGACAAGTCACAGGTGGTGGAATAGCCCCATTCTCTGCCTGGTGCAGGAGCATGGTGTGATGGTGAATGTGAGGCCAGCGGGACTGTGCCCAGAGCAGCAGTCCTGGGGAATGGCCAGAGAGCCACGGAGGAAGCTGAGACAAGGGGGGTTATGGGTGTTCCCTGTGGGATGGTGGCTGGCCTCTCCCTGGGCACTGAGAGAGCAGGAGGCTCCTGTCTGGTGGTGCTTGACAGTGAGCTTGTTGGCACCTGTGTGGTGGCAGAAGCTGGAGTGGGGGGCACAGGTTCTGGGAGAGTGGCCCCAGGAGACTGTAGCCTTACGATAGCTGAAGTTGAAACAGCTGATGATGGGGTGGTGATGGAAGCCTTGGGCATCTCAGCTGAGGATGACGGTGTGGCAGTGGAGGCCTCTGGTAGCACAGCTGGTGATGAGGTGCTGATGAAGGCATTTGGTGATGGTGTGGTGATGAAGGACCTGGGCATGGTGGCTGGTGATGGGGTGGTGATGAAGGACTTTGTCACACTGGTTGTTGATGGGGTGGTGGTGGAGGTCTTGGGCTTATTGGTTGTTGATGGGCTGGTGCTGAAGGCCTGCTGCAGCACAGCTGGTGGTGGGATGGTGACAAAGACCTCAGATGGCTTGGTTGGTGACAGAGTGGTGAAGGCAGACTCCATTGGCACGGTTGGCAACACCGCAGAGGTGGCCACAGGTGAAAGAGTGGTTGGCAGTGTCCTGATGGGAGAGGATGCCAATGACAGCATGGTTGGTGCTGCTGTGGACACGGCTCCGCGTGACAGGAATGTTGACGTTCTTTGTGGCACTGTGGAGTTAAATGGCAGAGTACCTGGGCAAATCAGGTGTTCGTCCCTCAGCAGTGTTACTTCTTGCCCTGCCAGGTGGGGTGGGCTCTTGCAGGAGACTTGGGTGGACAATTTGACCTTCTCCCTGTTGCCCAGGATCCAGAGGTGCAGGTAGCAGAGGTTGCAGTCACATCTCCATGGGTTACCACTCAGATACACTGAGCTGAGCTTCTTCAGGGGGTCTAGGAGCCCTTGGGGAATGCTCTCCAGCTGGTTCTTTCGAAGGTTGAGGGTTTTCAGATTTGGGAGAGAAGCAAAGACCTCTTCATCCAGAGCAGAGAGCTGATTTGTGTCCAGCTGGAGGTCCAAGAGCTTGCTGAGCCCAGTGAAGACCCCTCTTGGCAGGGCTGATAGCTGGTTGTGGGACAAGATAAGTTTGCCAAGGGACGTGAGGTTGACAAAGATGCCCTCTGGAAGTGTGACCAAACTGTTCCTGCCCAGATCCAACTCCCTCAAGTGTGGCATGGTGTCAAAAAGGCAGCAGGGGAGCTCCATAATATGGTTTGAGCCCAGAGTCAGCAACTTCAGTTTGTTTAAACCAAAAAAGCCCTGAGGTGGGAGAACCCTGATGAGGTTGTTGTCCAAGAGGAGTTTCTCCAGGTGAGGCAGGCTTCTCAGAAGCATGGGTGGCAGTGCCCTGAGCCTGTTCCTCTGGAGGCTGAGCTCCAGCAGCTCCAGCTGACTGTCTAGCAGTCCCTCTGGGAGGTCCTGCAGCTCATTCTCATACAGCCGGAGGACTTGCAGCTGGGTGAGTTTGCTGAAGGCATGCACAGGAAGAGCTGTGATCCTGTTTCTAGACAGGTCCAAAAAAGTTAGATTGACAAGAGAGTCAAAAATGCCTTCTGGAAGAGAAGGGATTGCATTGATGTGCAGGGAGAGCTCTCCCAAACTTTCCAGCCCATCAAACAGGCCTTTGGGGATGGATCTGAGCTGGCTGTCTCTCAGCTCCAGCCTCTGTAAACTTGGGAGGTTTTGGAAAGTGCCCACAGATAGTTTTTCTAATGAGGCACCAGAGATGTCCAAGTCCCTCAACTTGTCCAAATTATCAAAGGCTCCAGGTTCAACAGTCTTGATCTTGTTGCCAATGAACAAAATCTTGATCAGGTTGGGCATGTACCTGAAGGCACCTTTACTTATAGAAGTGATGCTGGTTTGCACAAAGATCATCTCAGAAACAAAGGGCTTTGCAATCTTTGGGATCTCTTTGACATCATTTTTTGTCCCTCTGTAGACCTCCTGGTAGTCTTTGGGCATTTCATATAGATCTTCACCCAGGATTTGATCTTGGCATTTATGGGGATTGAAAGACAGGAGGAAAAGGAAAAAGAAATGCTGGTACATTTTGCTGGGGAAAAAAAAGTTTCAAAAATCTGTTATGAAGAACAATAAATCTCTGTCCACAGCTCATGAACTGTGGTATCACACTGCTGTTCAGCTCTCAGGACTCTTCTATTCACACACCATGACTAATTTCATGAGAAAGAGAGACTGGACAAGCAAACATACTGCATTTACACGAGTTCACTGCTGTTGGTACCAAGGGACGGAGAGGGAAGGCAAGCCAGCTTGTGGCTTGCACTGGGAGATGCTCCAGGAGGCACAAGGGCTGGACAGTCTGTTCTCTGGCCCTTCTCACATGTTTGAACTGTAGGCTCAGTCAGCCTGGGCGAAGAAGGAAAAGTGCTGCTGCCCATTAGTGCTGCCCCAGTGGATCCAGTTAGTCAGCAGGGCAACAGCCCATTCATGCAACAACAGAAAGCACTCAGCCCTGCACTTGCTAATGAGGGATCAGCAAGGCTCCCGGAGCCAGCCAAGACCAGAGGACCTTGTGTGCTTAGAATTTACACACTGTGCTGGGTAGACTTGCTATTTCATTGCTGCTTCTCTCAGTTTGGGGGAGAGGGGGGGCTGATTTAGAAAACATGGTTTCTAAGCACCTCTTTTTCAGGATTCTTACTAATTGTACCATATTTTGGCCTTGGTCATGACAGAAATAGTTAACCTGAGAACAGCAACCAAGCAAGGCTCATTAAAACCTTGGAATGTCCACAGATGAACTATTTAACACCTAACATTTGGGGCTCTGACCTTGCAGGTAGGAAGTGAAATCACTAATGTGCACTGACTAGTAGAGCCCACTTCTTCCACAGACACATTTGGAAACACTCAGCTAACACATTAACTGGGGTTTAACTGCCATGAGCACCTCACTGGGACCATATTTCCAACTGTTAATTCACAGCCCTGGGTGGGAAGAGGGAAAAGAGGTACGAGTTTCTTCTTGGGTGACCATCAAAGCTGGCCATGCAAAAAAACTTATTCTGGGAGGGTAAATCTGCTATGAAAAGTTATTTTTTTAAAATATTGTTGAGATGTCAGCAAATACAGGAGACTGAAAGCCACTGGGTTTGAAGAGAAATAGATGGGAGGTGACACTGGTTGTGCAGGCTGCCCCCCAGGGCTCCCAGGGCAGAAGCCACTGCTGATCCCTGCTCATCCTCTCGGATGGGAGGTGACATTGGTTGTGCAGGCTGCCCCCCCCAGGGCTCCCAGGGCAGAAGCCACTGCTGATCCCTGCTCATCCTCTCCCCAGGGAGACTCAGGTGGAAGAGCTGGGGCTGTGGCTGTAGAAGTGCCTGCTTCACTTCTGCTGCAGGGGCAGTGCAGTGAGTGAAATGTGAAAACATCTGAGGGTGTGGGGATGCAAATGGACAGTTTTGAACCACAAAACCCTTTAAAAACCCTCACTGTGCTCCCATGATTGTCCCCCACTGCAGCCAGGCAGAGTCATGGAATGATGGTCCCAGCTCATGGCACTGAAGCCTTCCCTGCTCCTTGCTGCAAGGAAACAACCAACAGCCCTCCACACCGCCCCTCCCATCGCATTTTAAAGAGCAAAAAGAAGCATTTTGCATCACTTACTTGGCTGAGCACTTGCAAACGAGTTCAGCCACCAACGAGCCTTGCCATGGAGGAGTGAGGACACCGGATGGGGTCTCATCACCTGGCCAGCTCTTTATCCACGTCCCAGGCAGGGCTCAGTTTCACATGAGCTCAGGACACAAGTCTGCGTGGGGAGATAAGGGCTGGCCGGGGAGCCAGCACAGGAGCTGTGCCCCCAGTGCAGGAGGCCACGGCAGAAACCCCTTGGAGGGGACACGGTCACGTACTCCCCAGGCCTTATCTGCTGGCACCACCTGACTCATCATATCCAGGGAAAGTTGAAGATCTCCAGGCCAGCCTGTTTGCAGGCCATGGTCTCTGTGGTCCTGTATCTGCAGCAGGGTAACTCACCAGTTTCACAAACACCACCCCCATCCACACAACAGACAGCTGTTTCATTCCTCAGGATTTGCCTTATGTAGCTAAAAGTGCAGTTCTGAAGCCATTTCTTAATCCTTATAAACAGTGAAACATTTGTGGCTCAACAAATACAACACCCAGGCTCTGTGCTCAGCCCCACAGCTCCACACCTTGCTGACCCTTGTGTTGTGTGCTGCACCCCAGTGCATACCAAAGACCCTCCCATGGTGACACCCAGAGCCCCTGGCTAGTGCAGGGCATCCTGTGGGATGCTCATTTTGAGGCAAACTGACAGGATGTACATTGCTTCCCAATGGGTAATTGCACTGGCTGCATTTAAACTTCTTCAATTTTCACCTGCTCTTATAAAAGCTCAGTTTCTGCTTGCTGGGTTTCATTGCACTTTTCTTGGCAAATTTAAAAACAAACTACTGCACACTTTTAACAGCCTTACCCCTTTCCAACGTCAATGTCGTACCCATCCGTGTCCCCACCGGGTTCTCCCGGCTCTGCCGGGCCCGCGGAGCCCGGTCTCGATGGCCACGAGATGGTGCCGCAGCACCGCCGCACGGACACGTGCGGACAGACAGACACGGGGACACTCACACACGCTCGGGGACACTCACAGACACTCGCGGGCACGGACAGACACACGCGGACAGGCCCATGCTGACAGGCACAGACACAGGGACACTCTCACACGGACGCTTGTGCGCTTACAGCCCCGCGTGTGCAGCCACACTCGCCCTCCCCGGGCAGCACACGCCTTACCTGCCACCCTCTGGGCAGCGCTACTGGGACTTTGTGCCTCGTCTCCACAGGTCACAGAATCAGAATCCCAGGATGGGAGAGGTTGGAAGGGGCCAGTGGAAGACATCTAGTCCAACCTCCCCACTGAAGTAGGGTTCCTTGGGTACCCATGGCTCTGTTCACTTGGCTTTTTAGCATATTCAGAGAAGGAGACTCTACAACCTCGCTGGGCAACCTGTGCCACTCACCCTCACAGCAAAGTTCTTCCTCTCGTTCACATGAAACTTGCCACTTTCTATTTTCAGGCTGCAGGGCTGCAGACCAAGCCCTGACAGGGTAGGGGTGGGACCTGCCTGTGCACACCTGGGCTGGAGCTCACCCTGCAGCCAGGCAGCTCATGCCCCTTGCTGGGCAATCAGCAGCACTCACCCCCACCCACCTCCCTTGGACAACACAAATCCGTGTCCTCAGGTTTTCCCAGGCTGCAGCTGGGCCTCTCTTCCCTCTGCAGTGCCAAGGGATGGTGGCTGCAGCGGGCAGACATGAGCACACCATGAGCATGCCAGAGGGGCACCTGCTCGCCACCAGGCACCTGCACTGTGCCCCTCCATGCACAGCTTCTGACAATATCCCAGTGTACCACATCGACCTTCGCTGTCTCACAGACACACAGACATTGGTGGGAGGAACAGAATGATTCCTCTCTCTGCCATGGGAACTAGCAGCACAGAAATAATAGATAAATTTTAATTATATTTGCAATACACAGGAAACACACAGCTGAGAGGATAAGTAGCACCAGGCCAGCTGTTGCAGAGAGCTCGGGGACAGCTGGGGACCATGGCAGCGGTAGCGGAGTGAGACGGAGAGCTGTTTGTTTCCCAGGCTGGTTCAGAGGCTGCCAGAGCAGAAGCAAACGCCTGCCCAAGCCTTAGGGCACCGCGGGGAGAGCTGGTGGTGTGAGCCGGTTGCCGCTCTGTGCTGTGACAAGGACACTGACGTGCAGCGTGCCACAGCGGGAGCGCAGCAGCCAGGCCCCGCGGTAGGCCGGCCCCAGGCCCTGCTCCTGCCCGGGGGGAGGGAGCCGAAGGCTGAGCTGCTGGCACCTTGTGGCATTGCAGGCCACACTTACCGTGCCCTCGGGGTCGGTGTAGGTGCAGTGCCCCGGAGCATCCGTGTGCCAGCCTTCCTCTGGGGGGACACCGTGTGCGCCTGGGCACTCCAGCTGCCCGCCGGAGACCTCCAGCAGGGACTGGCCCTGGAGAGCAGCTGGATCGGCACAGAAGGCTTGGCCGTGGATGAGGGGCTCAGCAAAGCTCTGGAGCCAGCGCAGGAGGTAGGAGAGGTGGCAGTCACAGACCCAGGGGTTGTCGGCCAGCCCCACACGCACCAGTTCTTCGTTGGCATCGAAGAGCCCCGGCGGCAGGCGGGCCAGGCGGTTGTGGTCCAGCACCAGGGCGGTGAGGAGGGGCAGCCCAGCCAGCAGCCTCGCTGGCAGCCTGGACAGGTTGTTGTGGCTCAGCTGGATCTCTGTCAGCCCCGCCAGCCCCTGGAAAGCCTCAGCAGGCAGGTGATCTATGGCGTTGTGGGAGAGCTCCAGGGTTTCCAGCACTGACAGGTTAGCAAAGAGCTCCTGGGGCAGTGTCTCCAGCTGGTTGCGAGCCAGCGAGAGGTGGAGGAGGCCAGGGGTGCCAGTGAACAGCATGGCAGGCACGGTGGCCAGGTTGTTGCCCTCCAGGCTGAGGACAGTGAGGTTGAGGAGGCCTGTGAAGATGTCAGGGGCCAGGCTGCCCAGGGCATTGTGCTGCAGCTGCAGCCGCCGCAGTGCCCCCAGCCTGGAGAAGATGCCGGAGGGCAGCTCCTCCAGCCTGTTGCCATCCAGGTGGAGCTCAGTTAGCTGGCCAAGTGCCCTGAAAGCACCAGGAGGCACCTGTGCCAGCAGGTTGTCACTGAGCTTGAGGACACGAAGGGCGACAAGTGGGGCCAGCAGCCCATCCGGCAGCTGAGCCAGAGCATTCTGAGATAGGTCTAGGGCTCGGAGCCGCCGGAGTGGGCGGAAGATGCCAGGGGGCAGTGCCTCAATCCTGTTCCCTGACAAGCTCAGGTCCTGCAGGCGGCAAGAGGCAGTGAAGAGCCCTGGCTGCAGAGTGCGGATGGTGTTGGCACTGAGGGAGAGCTTGCTGAGGCTGGTCAGCCCTGCCAGCATCCCGAGGCTGACGGATGGCAAAGGGTTGCCTGATACCTCCAGCTCAGTGAGGCTGGGCAGCCCCTGAAAGGCACCAGTCTCCAGCTGCTGAATGTTGTTATTGATGAAGACCAGCTTGGTGAGCGTGGTGCTGGAGCCCAAGTCCCCGCTGCGGATGCTGCTCAAGGCTGTCTCCACGAAGAAGAGGTGGGTGGCACTTCCTGGCAGGCCCTCTGGGATCTCCCGCATCTTTTCGCTTGAGCAGAAGACTTTGGAGGTGTCATAGCACTGGCAGGTAGGGGGGCAGGATGGGGACAGTGCCCCCACCAGCAGGGACCCCAGCCCCAGCAGCACGTAGATCAGCAGCCTGCACTGGAGGAGGAACCAAGCCTTACCCTATGAACCCACAGGCAGGCACTGCTGGGGAAAGGGCTTCTGCAGCCAGAAATACAGCAGGATCAACCTCTGAAACCATCAGCACAGGCAGCTGCCCTGGCCATGGACATCCCTCCAGCCCCTGCTGCCAGCACCTCCCCAGCACTCCCCTTGCAGGAACAGGGAGCACTTCCCTCCCAGATGTCTCCCCAGACTTTTTACTCTGTGCCCCAGCCCACCCTGTGACAACCAGGGCAATGCCACCCTCACGAAAGGTGGTGAGCAGCCACATCCTGCAGAGCAGCAGCTGAGGTGGGATCTGTATGGGTCTGTGGAAGTCTTGGGGGAAACCTGTACCCTCATCAGATGTCTCCACAGGCAGAAAGGTTCTAGGGCAGGAGAATCTGTGAAACACAGGGCTGTGCTGTGCACTCTGGATGATGGCAACAGCCCTGCAGGGCTGCTCTGAGCTCAGTGGCAGTAGATGTGGGCTCCACCACTTGTATTTCTAATTGCCTGTCAGGTACTTCTTTTTCCACAAGGAATCAGAGCAGCGTCAACCTGCTGGAGGGATATTCAGCCTGACCAAATGCCTATTCCCAGCCCACAGAAGCACTTCTTGAGGCAGTCGGCCCCAGACCTCTGCCAGTCCCTCCCTAGTTGGGATACATGCCAGTGCTGCCTCGTGATGGGGGATATAGCCCACCCCAGAGCAAGGCCCACCTACAGACACCCTGCCCCAGTGGAGCTCTCCTGGACTCACACCGGCACTTGAGAGCAGCACTGGCTTGGCATTTCCTTTCCTCCATCTCACTTGTGTTCACCAGAGCCAACAGAAGCTCCCACCCATCCCAGGCCCCCAAACTACCCAGGCAGTGTGGGCACCACTTACCAAGTGTGACATCATGGGGATGGTCGCCGAACCTGTGGCAGATTTGCAGGGATGCTGCTTGCTGGGATGGGACAGTGTTTTCTGGGGCGGATGGGAAGCCAGCCGAAGCCAGGGACAAGCTGTTCCTGCTGGGGCGGAGCTGCCCCTCGCTGCTTATCGGCAACAACAACCCGTGTCCTTGGAGCACTTTGAAAAATAGCCCGGCCTCCGAGGGACTGGAGGTGAGGCCAGAGGCAGCTGCCTGTGAGCATCCTGGCAAGGAAGTGGGGTTCTGGCCCCGGACATCCACTGCTGCAGGGATGGTGGCAGGGTGCTGCTGTCACAGGTGGCTCCAGTTCCACACCAAGGTCAGCATACTTGCTTCCAGAAGCCCCCTAAGAGAGCCCCAGAACTTCATTAAATCTCACTGGGAAATGGTGCTCAAAATATCTCTGCCATGAGAGAAGCGACACGGTGCAGCTTAGCAAGGCAGATGAAGGCTGCACATGAGGTTAGAGGTCTTTTCCAACGTTATGGTTCTTTGGGGAGGGGACCACTGTGGAACCATCATGGTGGTCACCAGGAGTTTTGTATCCCAGCCAGCAGTGGGATGGTGAGGGAGCCATGGATCAGCTGAACTCCCTAGGAGTTTCAACCTGCCTGGAGGAGCAGCCCACACTACCATAAATGCTGCATTGCAAGGGCCTGTGTTGGCCCAGGTTCGGCTGGCAGCAGCCATGGAGACACCCTCAGGGGTAGGAGGAGGGATACTTCACTACACTCAGTCAGTCTCATGGAGCAGATGGTGACACATGGAAAAACACAGCTGACACAACCCAGGGGCAGCCAGCTCTGAAGGGAGCCAAGCAAGATCCCCACCACCCCAGCAGTAGACTGTGCAGGAGACAGTCAGTGTCTCCACGGAGAAGCAAGCTGAGGTCTCAGCTCACTCTCCAAAAGCCCACCCACTGCTGTTGTATGGCTTAGCCCTCCTTGGTCCATCATCCCAGCCTGGAGTCCAGGGACCAGCAAGGGCTCTGCAAATACAGCCCACTAACCCTCTCCTAACCTCACCAACTCGTACAGGCTTTTCCTCAACGCCGTAAAAATCTCTGAGGAGTGGAAATCAAGTGCAGCCCCTGCTGGGTCATTCCCCTGCTGCCCACCATAAAGGAGTGAATAAACAGCTCTTGGCACTTGGAGTGGACAGTGGCACTTTAATGAGAAGTCACACATCAGCCCCCAACAGCCCCGTGACACAGTCATGAGTCTCCTGTTACCATGCAGGACTCGGCCCACAGGGGTGACCCATCACATGCACCAGCGTGGAGCTGCTTGTAGCAGCACTGCCTGCTGAGGTGCTGTGAGCAGCCAGCACTGCAGGGTGGACACCAAACACCCACCTTGTCCCACAGCAGCAGTCCTCAGGCAGCCTGATGCCGCTGCAGCACACACAGAGGTGAGCTCAATCCCCCATGGTCGTGCTACAGCTGGAGAAGGCAGCTGGATACAGGGGGGATGGCATGGCACCCATTTGCAAACTGGAGAGTAGCCAGCACTCTGTGCTGCCAGCGTCCCCCCTGGCAAGGGCTGCCACCCAGCAGCGGCACTGGGAACACACAGGAGGGCACTCCAGGGAGTAAGAAGAGGATGAAGAAGATATTAGTGGTCAAGCAGAGCAGGAGCAGGTTGCTCACTAGCTGGTGGATGGTGTTAAGGAAATGAGGACTAGGAATGGGGTGCAGCAGAAGCAGCCCCAACACACTCCAGCAACCCAGAAGCACAAGCACAGGAGCTTCTCCCAGCCCCTGCAGACACTTCACACCCATTGTCCCACTCCTCCACCCTCACCCCTGGCACCCTGTGGGGCTGAAGCAGGGTGCTGCAGGCAGGAGCACAGCCACAGCAGGGTCAGCACCAGCATGCAGTGAACGCTGAGGGACTGCTCCTGCCCATCCCTGATGCCAGCACACTGTCCCGTGGCTCTTCTGGCTGGAGGTGCATGAGGGAAGCAGGCAGATGCCAGGAGCAGGAGAGGGTGCTGGCTGTGCTCTGGCCTGCCCTGCCTGCAGGCAGGGAGGGCAACTGGGACGCAGCTGAGACACTCAGGGTGTGCCAGCCTGGCAGCAGCACAGCCCCGCGGGGAGCCCTGCCCAGGCACCGTGAGTGAGGAGCAGCAGAGGACACGCAGCTCCCCTGGGGCAAAGCTGTCATCCTGGCCCAGAATGATGGCTCACACTGCCTGCCCAGGCAGGGGCAAGGAGTGAGGTGTAGTGGGGGCAGAAGGTGGAGAGAGGGGCTGGGCAGGGGTGAGGGCAGCAGGCAGCATGAGGGCAGCAGCACTGCAGGGAATGGGGCAAGGTGAAGGATGGGGACATCCTGTTATTTGGGGTAAAGCACCATCATGGCCAGGCTGTGGCTTCTGGCTCGAGAGGTCCCTCTCTGCATCCCACACCTCAGCTGCTGAACTGGGCAGGGAATGAGCACAGAGGCTGCACTGGAGGCAGGAAGGGCTGGGGACAGTGGGCAGCCATGGGAGGTCACTCGGTGGGGAGGCCCCGCTGCAGAGCAGGGGCAGGGCAAAGCAGAGCAGGACAGTGGTACACACAGCGCACATGGTGATGTTGTGCCATCCCAGTAAGCAAGGGCAGCTGATACAGAGCCACTGTCATGTCCTTTGACCCCACAAGCACCTCTGCCCTCAGGGTCTGCCAGATACTCAGGCTTCATTCGGAGCCTTCATCCTCATGAGCACAACGTGACTCTTCTTCCTACAGCCATAGATCACCAGTGCCACCAGAGCAGCCAGCAGGGCCACACACACCAGCACGATGACTGCTACCACCACCCCACTCTGCAGGCGTGTCAGCCCCCACTGCCCCCTCTCTTCCTCCTCCTTCTTTTCCTCCTCATCTTCCTGTGGGGAGGCTGGCAGCCCCGTGGGGGGCTCCATCGAAGCATCTTCTGCTGCTGAGGCATCATCTGATGCTGCCTCCGAGGTGTCAGCAGGGAGCAGGGTGCTGGGATGAGGAGCAGCAGTGGGGGCCTGGGGGTCGAGGAACTGGTCCTGTGGCAGCCCGGCGATGGGGATGCCCTGCAGGGCGGGAGGCTGGACACACAGCGGGGCGATCTCACCCACCTTGTGAGGGTTCTCCTCCAGCCAGCCCTGCAGGGGCAGGATGCCCTTGTCACAGCGCCAGGAGTTGTTGTGCAGCCTCACCTCTCGCAGGGCAGTCAGCGGGGAGAAGATGCCGGCAGGCAGGTACTCCAGGGCATTGGAGTGCAGCTGCAGGTGCCGCAGCCCAGGGGTGGCCCTGAAGAGGCCCCGTGGCAGCGCCTGCAGCTGGTTGTGGTGCAGAGAGATGTTCTGCAGCTTGGGCATCCCCTCCAGTGCTCGGGCATCCAGGCGGCGCAGGGCATTGGAGTGCAGCGACAGCTCCAGCAGCTCCCCCAAGCCCTGGAAAGCCCCCGGTGCCACCGACCGCAGCCGGTTCTTGCTGAGAACCAGGAGCTGCAGCTGGGTGAGGTTGCTGAAAACAGCAGTGGGGAGGGTGGAAAGCTCATTCTCGTAAAGCCAGAGCTCCTGCAGGTTGGGCATGGGCCCAAAGGCACTGGGGGAGATGTCCCGCAGGCGGTTGACGTGCAGGGTGATCTTGGCAAGAGCGTGCAGGGGCAAGAAGACGCCGCTCGGCAGAGTGGTGAGGAAGTTGTTGGATAGGTAGAGTTTCTGCAGGTTGGTGTTGTGCACAAATAGCTCCGGGGACAGCGTCTCCAGCTGGTTCTGGTGCAGCCCCAGCTCCTGCAGCTCCGGCAGCCCATCAAAGGTGCCCACCGGGATGTGCCGGAGCCGGTTCTCGTAGAGCCGCAGCACCTGCAGCCGCGCCAGCCGCTCGAAGGCCCGGGGCGGCAGGCGGTCGATGTTGTTCCTGGCCAGGTTGAGCTTGGTGAGGCTGGTCAGCTGGTCAAACACCCCCTCCTGCAGCTCCTTCAGGTTGTTCCCGTGCAGCTGCAGCTCCTTGAGGTTGCTCAGATGGGCAAAGTGGGAAGGCTCGACCTGCAGGATCTGGTTGCTGGAGAGGAGCAGAGACTCCAGCTTGTCCAGAGGCTGAAAGACCTGCACAGGGAGCTCCTGCAGCTTGTTGCTGGCCAGGCTGAGGTAGCGCAGGTCGGGCAGGTTCTGGAAGGCCCCGGGGCTGATGCGTGACAGGACGTTCTTCTCGACGCGCAGCCCGATCAGCAGGGAGGCGTTGCCAAAGGCGGCGTCGCCCAGCTCGGCGATGCGCGTGTTGATGATCTGCAGGGTCATGGCGTTGGCAGGGATGGGGCTGGGGACCATGGTGATGTCGGCACCAAAGCACTCCACCTGGGCACTACGGACACACTGGCACTGCTCTGGGCACTGGCTACTAGCCAGCTGGATGCCCACCAGCAGCAGCAGCCACCGCTGCCAGCCTCCCTGCTCCATTGGGCCTGCATAAAAAACAAAGGAGGGGGGTTTAACCCTGGGGGTTCCCAGCTCCCAGAGCACTGCAAGGGATGGGTGCTGCTTTCCCCCTGGAAAAAGGCACCGAGGCTGTGGCCATCCTGCCCCCAGCATGGCAACGAGGCAGAAAAGGGCAGACAAGGAAGGCTTGGGGCAGGCAAGGCTTGACTCAGCCCAGGCAGGAGCTCAGAGCAAGACAGAGCTGGAGGCCACAGTGCCTGGTTGCCATACCACAGCTATTAGTGGCATCCCTGGCGTCCCAGCTCTCTGGGCTCCTCTGGCAGCCAGGAGTGTGGTTTCCTGTTTTACAGAGTGTGGTGAGCTGCTGCCAGCAGCACCGGCCTCCTGGTACCACCAAAGAGCCCAGATCTTCACAAGAGCTGGCTCGTGGCACCTGCAGCGGGTCCCAGCATTGCCCCAGTGCCCCCAACACCCTCTGAGCTCTGAGCTCCTGTTGCAAAGCCAAGAGCAGTGCCTAGGGATGCTTTAGGCCCAGCCCTGCAGGAGCCTGGGTCAACAGGACCCTTGCCAGCTCCCCAGCACAAGCTGGTACAGGCTGGCCCTGTGTTCCCCCATCCCTAGCAGGAGGTCTCAGCCTGGCCTTTTTTTGCCATGAGAGGGGTGTCTGATGTGGGCACATGTATGCGGGCTGGTCCCAGGGGTGGTGCCATTACCCCTAAGCACAGATACCATGGACACCCTCTCCTCTCTCCCCTGGCCTGTGAGCTTCTTCCCTCCCTAGATTAAAGCAGCAGCCTTGTGCCAGGCTGGCATGGAGCAGCCTCCCATTAACACCTTCATGTGGCACAAGGAGGGGAGAAAACCTGCAGGTCCTGCTCTGAGCACTGCTCAGCCAGACAGGTGACTCAGGCAGCACAGGGGTCTGCCACAGTGCCCCAGCTGGCCCCCAGGGTATTGGAGCACAGCCTCTGCCCTCCTCCCTGCCCTCCCCACAGGGAACACTCCTGCTCTCAGGCAGGGAGGGAGGAACCCTCCACAAGCCAGCATGGTTTATGTTTCCCATATGGAAACAATCTGCATCCAAGAACAGCTATGTTTATAGCAAGACATTTATAAACTTCCCCAAAAGCTCGGCACAACAAAAGCCCTACTCATGTCACTCCCTGGTAAGGCAGCACAAAGAGCACACACACTGGAGCAACCTTCATGAAAGGCAGCTGGAAACAATTGCTATCTCTTTTTCTTCTAGGGATAAAAAACTTACAGACCAAGAGACTGAACATTCTCTGCTGCTCAGCCCCTCAGCATCCCACTGTTCCTAACATCAGCCGCACCAAATTATTACTTTGCCCCCTTTAATTTTCTCTGTTGATCATTGTCTGGGATACATTGCCTATATAACTCTTCCAGCTCCCACAGCATCTAAGTGGTCTCACTTTTTCGGAGAACCATTGCAAGATAAACATCTCCATCAAATAAAAAGGCGCTGTACATGCAGATCCCACCACTCCACCACCACCCCTCAGAGCTGCCCTGGCAGTCCCTGGAATCCGTGTCCACTCAGAGCAGCAGTAGGAGAAGGAGACTTACCCGAGTGTCCTGCAGCCACGAGCACTGAGCGAGCTCAGCTCCGTGCTGGCAAGAGAGCAGAGTGTGGTTCATTCTTCCCCTCCCAGTATATAACCCGTCCAAATCAATGAATCAGCACAGGGGCAGTGGCGGGGTTAGGGAAAGCGCTGGAGCAGAGCTGCTTCCAACTCCTATTTCCTCAACAGAGCAAGCATTTCAAGGATGAGTTTTGGGTTTCTCCCTCCTGAACCCCAGTGCTCTTGTAAGAAGACAAGCAGAGAACCCTGTGAACATGCTGCTCATATCAGCCAGTGCCCAGACGGTGGCTTGGCCCTTGGAGTCCCCCTGGTCCCCAGTGGGACACAGCCACTGACCCATGGGGGCAGACCAGCAAAGCCGGACCCCTGGGCACAACCCTGTCCTTCCCTGGCAGTTCACACCAGGGCTGCTCCATGGCACTTACTTGGCACAGGCACAGCTCTTGTTTCCCCATCTGTGGCTCCTGTAAGTGTCAGGACCTCTGGCTGTGCCCCAGCCCAGGGCCACCAGTGTAGGCAGCCCCCCGGCACACTGCCCCTGCCCAGGTCACAGCTCTCATTCCCCCCACAGCCACAGATGCCGAGGGGCCACAAACCCATGAGCACCCACTGTGGGCTCTGTCCTGTGGGCACCACAACCAGCACTGCCAGGAAGCGAGAACTGTGCCAGGGTCACAGCAGCTGTGTGGGGCCAGGCTGCTTCAGAGAGCCCTCAGTAAGCCAGAGTGTTGCCCACAAGCCATGAGGAGCACCTTGGCACCGAGGAACCCCCACTGCAGGCATCCCTGGCACCCCAGAGCAGCACAGCAGCTGTCTCCCAGTGGCTGCCCCTGCTCTGCCCCCTCAGCAGTCCTGACACACAGGTGATGGAGCCTGGTACCCAGGGGTGTTTGGAAAGCATCCATCAACTTGTTCAGGGGCACCTGCTGCCAGCCCTCCCCTGCCCCTCCAGCACACATGGGTGCACCGCAGTGCCCTTGGGTCCCGTCACCCAGCCCAGGTCTCCCCACCTCGGCCAGCTCCTCCGGGCAGTCCCAGTCCAGCAGCTGCCAGGAATGGATATTCGGGAGGAAGCAGCTAAGGAGAGTCAGCACACGTGGCCCCTTTGGGCTTCCTGGAGAGCCACTGCAGTCCCTTGCTAAGCACAGGGCAGCTGGAACTTCCCTGCCCACCTCTGATGCCGTCTCACCCCAGCCGTGCCTCCGCGGTTGCAGCAACCTCTGCTCAGGTTCCGGTGGCACACAGGAGCTGCTCAGGATGGGAACAGCGTGGGGCTGCTGCCGGAGAAGGGGAGGAAATGTGTCATGCTGTGAGGGCTGGGAGCGTGCAGGGCTGTGGAAGGGACAGCTGCTCTGTTCAGAGAGGGGACCAGACCGGGACAAACAGCAAACTGCAGGGATGGAGAGCAGAGTTCTCAGACAGTCTCAAAGGAAGGAGACAGGGATCGTGGGAACATGGTAGGGGAGTGGGACCTCAGCTGGAGGCCACGGCCACCACGGTGTCACATCACACAGGAGGCCCATCTGCCGTAGCAAATGCTGGATGGCCACGGACCCCTCTGGCTGGAAAGTGGGTGCAGAGGCTGAAGCTACCCCTGGCCATGCTTCCTGCCTGCTCTGGGGCAACACCCAGGCATTTGGGCACAGAGAATGGGCATTTTGAATGCACCACGCACCAAGTGCTCTAGTTCACACTCTAGTGACACAGCAGTTTCCCAACACCACACTTCCCAAAACAATCTCCCCACTTCTGTGACAGCACTGCAGCTGGAGGTCAGGCACTGGGCTTGGGAGCTGCCTGCTCCCTGCAGCCCTGGCACGAGAGCTGGGCTCTCACAGCCTTATCGTGGCTCTGTCTGTCCACTGCCAGTGCTGCTGGGCTTCTGCCCGCTCTGACTCATCCAGAAGCTCACAGCTTTTCACCAAGGCAACACAGGAACCAAACCTCAGCACTTCCGATAAACCACTGCCCCAAGCCCTGCTCATCCCAGGAATGTCGGACTCCCTCCTTCCACAAAGTGCTGCCCCAGGGCAGACAGGGATGCAATGATGGGTACCTCAAACACTGTGCCCCAACAGAGGGGTTATCAGATTATGGTCCTTACCACGATGCAAAGTTTCAGAGCAGTCCAGGTAACAGCCCTGACAAAAACCCACCTCCCTCTACCCAGGCCTCAGGAAACTGCCTCTGGCTTCCGGCCAGAAAAGATGATTGTTTTCAAGACATCACTAAAAATAAAGCAGGGTTGAGTAACAAATGGCACACGCCTGTGAGCCACTTCTGCAGCCACTCCCAGAGGTGAGCACACGGGAGGTTACCCCAGGCTACTTACAAGGGAGAGTAACAGAGGGTGTGAGACCTTGGGACAGCAGCACATACCCACCCCACACATCCGGAGGGGAGAGACAGCTCCTGAGACAGCAAACGGATGTGATTGAGGGTGAGATTAGCATTTTGCAGGGAGAGGCTGTTCCACAGAGCCAGGAACTCACACAGTGCTGGATGGAGTGGGTCTCATGCTGCAGGAAAGCCCCAGGTTCAGCATTGCCTGGTGGACCCTTCCCACCTCCAGCTGCAGCAGCCTGAGGCTGAAGCCCCCCTGACCAAGCCCTGGACAGTGTGGAATCACTGTTGTACCCCTGCACCTTCAAGGAGACAATGGAGCCCCAGAACAGCAGTGTCACTTGTTGCTGGAGCTGTCTGCCTTGCTACAGGATAGCAGGACAGTCCCGTGTCTGTCTGTCCATGCTGGTACATCTCCAGCACATCCCCACGGCCAGGGTGGCGGATGCAGCAAAGCTGAGTGGCTCTGAATCACCCAGGGACTCGAGACTGCTTGGAAAAACTCATGTAATCGCTAAAATTAGCAGCTTGTGGGCTTGGCTGGGAGAGCACATTGTTCATCTGCCAAGCAGCTGAGCATGCTCACCCACGCCATGCAGATGCAGTTCCCCCCCCAACCCCTCCTCCTGCACACCTCCAGCTCCTGCCTGAACTGGCACCCTGGGCAGGGTGGGCTCTCCCCATGGCCTGCAGTGCAGTGCTGGGACCCCCCCAGTTACTCTGAGTTGCTGCAAAGTGCCCACCCTGCTGGTGAGCCCCCCACCCCGGTGGCCTCTGGTGCACACAGAGGCCAGCTGGCCCCAGGCACCAGGCCAGACACTGCTGAAGCGCAGGAGGAGGGTGGAGGGTGGGCTCGGGGCCACAGAGGGAGTCCAGCTCAGGGGAACACCTCTGGGCCTGAGCCCTGCAGGACCCACAGGCTCCCAGCACAGCTGAGGGGCGAAGGAAGGGACATTAGTCCCTCAGGACTGGTGCTGGGGCCACCTCCACCCTTAGAGAAGCACCAGCAGCCCCTGCCTCACCACGGGCCCACCCTAATCCTTTGAGGAGCCCAAATGTGAGAGCTCCTCCACAGGGCCTGCGATCCAGCCCTAGTGACATTTTCCCACGCTGCTTGCGGAATGCAGGGCCAGGGCTGCCTCACTGCTCATGCCATCATCTGCCCCAAGGGACGGGGACATGGCCTGCCTTCCCTGGGAAAGAGCCTGTGCAAAGGGGGAACTTTGCGGGGAGCAGCAGCAGCTTTGCTTAGCAGGGACGGCCATCAGGCTGACCTCCATCCAGGCGCCAGCCCCAGGCCCACCACAACCCTCCTGGAGCTCAAGGAAAATGGCATTTAGGATCTCAGGCTCCAGCGGGGCTCACCCCACCAGCAGAACCGTCTCCTCCAGGCGCAGCCCTGGCCCGAGCGATAGCAGCAGCACGCAGGCCTTGGCCCCGGCTCAGGGCAGCGCTGGGCTGGAAGGAATGCGGGGCCCGGCCAGCTCCGCCTGCTGAGATAATCCGAAGCGGAAAGAGCTTGTCCGAGTGCGCTGTGAGAGGGGGGAAGGAGCAGCTGGAGCGGGACGCCATGGAGGGGGATCATACGCTGAGAAATGTTTCCTGGATCAGCTCCATCTCTGTAAAGCTACCTCTGGCATCACGAAGTGTCCCAGGGACCTCTTCCCAACACACGAAGGGGGAAGGGGCCTCATTTCTTCCCAGGAGAAGCCAGCAGAGGAGTGAACAGCAGACTGCAGAGCTGCTACCAGCCATCACTGGCTCCCTGCCCTGAGCTTTTTCCATGCAGAGACACACAAAGGCACAGCTGGAAGGCTGGCATGCCGGCCCCACAGCAGCAATTGCTGAGGGCTGAGCCCAGTGGTGGATGGCTCCGGGTGCTGCTGGAACAGAAGCTCCCACCCCGTAGTGAACTGGGACTCACCCCCCCTTGGCCCAAGTAAGAGACTATACCAGGGCTTATCCACCACAAACGCACACAGTATAAACCCAGATTTTGGCTACAAAAATGGAGGCATAACACCTCCCTAGTTTGCCACTCCCTAGCTGGGACAAAGCAGGAGCTCCAGGCCTTCTACTCACTGGGAGTCTGTAAACTCTCATGGCCTTGTCCAGTGGGAATGTGCCTTGGGCTGCGTCTCCTCACAGCTCTTCTGACATCCCTAGGAAATGCTCCGATATCAGGGCTGCCAAATCAGCAGTCCTAGGCAAGCCCTGCTGGTTGGAGGCCTAGAGGAGACACAGCCAATGCTCCATAATGTCAGGCAGAGGCTCCCAGAGCTCCTGCCTTGCAGCTAGCAGCTGCATGCACTCCTGAACCACAGAGCCCTGCTGGGGGCCTGCTCCAAGCACATCTGCCACCACCCACTTCTCTTTGACATCAGGACAGGGAAAATCTGATCTTGCCGCTGTGCATTGGAGGACTGAACTGCATTCACAGGCAGCTGCCCAAGCTCACTGCCCTCTGCAAGCAGTGACAAAGGCTCTCCTGCACCTCCTGGTCTCAGGAGGCAGAGGTGGTGGGATGGAAAGGACCAGGACACCAGGGACACAAGGAAAGGATGTGTGTGCTGGTGGCTTGGAAGTGCTTGCTGCAGTGGCTGTGAAACAGGCAGAGCTGCCAGTGTTTGTGGCAGCAGTTAATTCAATTCCCCCCTCAGCAACCTGTGCTTTGGGGACTCTGGATTCAAATACCAACAAGCAAAGGAAAATGGCATTTTTAGTGACACGAAGCTGGAAACACAATGAATAGTCCCATGGCTTGGCACAGGGTAGGTCAGAACTCCCACTGCTCCAGGATTTCCTCAACAGAGAGAACAGGAGCAACTGCTACAGCAGTGAGCATTTGAAGGGACAGAGTGAGCTGTGACTGGGCTGGTACGGCTGGCCTGGTGGTGAGGTACCCAAGCACTCCCAGCCAGGATGTGGTGCAGGAAGCAGGTCCTTGACCTGGGTCTGGGTAATGTGCAGGGCTGTTAACCATGACTCTGCCCCCATCAGGAGCCAAGAGAGAGGAACCAACCCCTTCAGCCACTCTATGCCTGTGCTTTGCATTCACCTCTTCTCCAACATCAGGGACCCGCTGGATCAGGGATTAGGTACCTCCAGTTTCTGACATCCAGCTTGCTGTGTGCCCTTCCAGCCTGGTGGCAGAGGCTGGGCAGTAGATGATGCAAGCGTGGGCTGCAGGGACTGAGAAAATCCTTGCACACAAGGGAACAGTGCTTTGAGGCAGCAGCGAGGCAGGGCTCCCAGAGAGGGTCTGGGACCAGCCTGCTGCCTTCCTGCCTGCTGCCTTCCTGCCTGCCACAGCTGCATCATGCTGACCTGGACAACTGTCCTTTCTCCAGGAAAAACAGAATGGGGTATGCACAAGGATATCCTTGGATTTCTCAGGCCAGGGAGTTTTTCAGGAAGGGCTGAGCTCCACTGAGCAAGAAACAATGAATCAGTGGCAGCTCAAAACAGTACACCTCAGAGGAAAGTTAGTAAACCACCTCAGGCACTCATTGCTCCAGCCTTTTGTTGTCTGATGACTTCACTTCCCCTGTCTGGCTCCAGCGTGGGGAAAGCCCGATGACAGCATGTGAAGAGGAATCATCCTCTCCTAGCACTTGACTGTACACAGCTCTGTGCCAGAGCCCCACGTGCCAGAGCTGCAGCTCACTGACTGCACCGGGAGCCAAGGAGCAGCGTGGGGGCCCAGCTGGCTCCACTGCAGGGCCAGGGCAGCCAGAGGAGGGCTCAGAAAGGCAGCAGCTGCTGCTGCCCCGCTGCCCTCGGGTTGGACAGCAAGGTGTCGTACCCACACCATGG